CATTTTTATAATGTTACCTACTCTTTCTATTTCAAATTTATTCGTCTGATTTTAACTTAATACGAAGAGATGGTTTTTTAGCAAAGAACTATACTTTATACGTTGTTATACGAATTTTCTTATTTATTATGTCAAATCTGCTTTGGTTACTTTTTTATGATCGGTTTGATTATGAGATATGGTATTATGATATAGAATCATAAGATGAATTTGATGTTTTGTTTGGATATGTAATATGGAATTTTTGTGCTCTATATTTTCTCATAAACATAAAAATCTCATAAGTTTGTAAAATTATTAAAATAGTCTCATTTGTTTATTCCATCTTATCGAATAAAAAATAATTAAATCGCATAATAAATTATTATAAAGATATTTGTAATCTGCTTAAGTAATTGTTTCATCTAGCTTTAATTTAATAAAAATAATTGAACATAAATTGTAGTGTGCGAGTTTTTAATATAATCCTCCCACATAGTATCAATAATTTCTCAAGTTGAACTTGCATTTCTCGATCATGTGACTGAGAAGACGAACCAACATTGTTACTTTAAGGCATTTGTTGGTCAATATCATTCGAACTAGATTTTCATGTTTAAAGACCATAAATATTTTTATACTTTAACAATCGGTACTTGTGTAAGTTTAAGTGTCTATATGTTGGTGAGAATAATAAATTTTATGTTGATAAGAATAATAAATTTTAAAAAGTAATGATGTGATTATAAATTTTATTTACATATAAAATAAATGGTTAGTAGATATAAATGTGGGTTTGTTTTAATAAAATATAAGCTTGTTGATTAATTTTTGTATTAAAATATCTCAAATCACATAATTCCATATCATGCTTTTTGGAGAATATGGAATCACATCTCATGACATGGAATAATAAGATGGAATCAGCGTGAAATCGCATGTCGAAACGCTGATTTCATCTCACGATATTATATCGTGATATGATATCGCATAGCCAAACACCTACTTAGATTTTGAAACCTTTAAATTTTAGTTTCACCGCTGACTTGTTATGATTTAAGAGAAGGAAAAAAGTTAAAATCTTAAACTAAAAATAGTTTAAATATATTAAAATATTTTTTAATTTTAGTTCATAAACGTGTCAAAGTAAAAATTAAAATGAAAAATCCATCAAAAGAGACATCCTAATTTTTAAAATAAATTATATTGGTTTGATATTTGTTTGTCTTGCTAGGCAGGGAATTGTTTATATTGCTAAGTGGAGTCACATGATTGGTAAGATTGTTGTTGGGTAGCAAGGGGACTTGTGGTGGAAACTTGGAAGCTTGAAAAGGATCCATAGGAAAGTTCTAACAAACTTACCTAAATTCCTTTGTTATGTTCATGAACATCAAATTAATATTATAACTACTCTTAAGTAATTATGTAAGCTTTAATTTAAATTGAAAATAGTACTTCTCAAAAAACCCATTTTAGATATATACTGTTAATTGACTAGATACGATGTTTACGATAATAACTAACACATATTTATATTTGTAATAGTATAAGAGATATATTATGAATAATTTTTCTATTTTTACAAGATAAAAATAAAACACATTTATATCGTTCCCGAGATATTTTGTTGTTGCAGTAATAGTAGAAGAAATATTAATTTTGTAATGATTAAGAATTTAATTTGATAGATTTGACATCACACTAAGCCTTACAAAATTGAATATAAGACTGTTTTGTCTAATATTTATAGTGTCAAAATATGAAAAGATAAATTTTAAAAAGGACAATGATAAATTGATAATTACAAACCCAAAAATCCAAATCAATGTAGTACAACTAGGACATTATTTTTCTTATTTTTAAATGCGCTTTTTTAGAATATTTTTTACAAAAGTACTTTTGAAGAAAAAACAAACCGTATTTGATCAATTTATTTGAAAAATACTTTTGATAAAAATTTGCCTTTTATTTTTTCACTTAAAACGTACTTTTGAGAGTTAAATTACGAAAAAAATAAGTATCAATGTAGTCTTAATATTAAGCTCATATTATAGAGACAAATTATTTTAAATGAGTATTATAATTAAATTTTTATTTTTGTCAAAATTAAAAGCCACATATTCAAATTTTCAAATATTTTCAATTAATTTTATTTATAGATGAATAAAGATAAAGTAAATATTGATATAATATTAAAATGATAATTTAAAAATAATTAAAATATAAAATAAAATAAATTTTTAAAACAATTTCACAAATTAAGTGACTACATACAAAATTAACACCACAAAAATAAATAAATATAGATATATTGATAAATATGCATATATAGCGTAGATAGTTTGATATTGAAATAGATAATTTTTTGCTTCCACTTCTAATTTTTAAGAAGTAGAATTTTTTAGCGTATGCTTTCATTTAAAAGTAATTTTATTTTACTAATTAGCCAAACACAATAATTTTTTAAAAATATATATAATTTCTTCTCAGAATAAAATAATTTTGATCTTCAAACATTAATGTCAAACAGTCTCTAACTAAAGTATATTCTAAACAATGATCCATATATACTATCTTTTACTGAACAACGATTTATAACACAAGAAAATAATCTATTTTTTGTGCATATTATCCATAAGATCCATTAATTAACGTGTATATTATCCAACAAGATCCATTTCTTTAGGCATTCTTGCTTCTAATTATGATTATGCATGCATGCAGGTTAATTAGTTCCTAATTAAACTATTCTATTCACATAATCTTGAGAAGCAGTATTAATAAGTACTCCAAAGGTATTTATTGAGATTGTAAATGTTGGGGTAATAGACAGCTAGAATATCAATTAAAGGATTGTTAATTAAGTTTGATAGCTAAGGAAAACTGTGGCGTTAAATTTACATAATTGCTATCGACATTAAATTTGACCAACGGAATAATATTTAGGAGCGCGTATAAGTAATTTTGAATTTTTAAATATTATTTTGTTATCGTAACAAATGAATTCGGTATGATTTGATATCTTGTAATATAGTAAATTGATAATATTAATTTGTTCAACTTTGACTAAACTTGAATACTCAATAATATAATAAAGAATTATAATTTTAAATTTTCATGATATTTCTCAATTTCATATATATATGTATGTATGTATGTATGATAAAGCAGAAAAGGTTCTATTAATTTCCAATAGATATTAGAATAGACGTTAGTTGACTTGGTCATCCTTCCATTTTTATTTTTCAATATCAACACTTATATACCGTATGTATTTTTTATTATCAATTGCAGAAAAAATTGTATAAAAATATAATTTATTGTAATAATGAACTCATCATATTTTTGAAATATTCTTTTAAACGATCTACATGAAAATAAAGTCATCCTTTTGTTGTTGATAGAAGAACAAGAAAAGGATGAAATTTCCTAGTCAGACAAAGGACATTGGAAACCTCTAGAACTCAAGTCTAGGAAGTTGCCTAATTATTTAATTTTTCTAGTCTTTAGGAAGACCATTTATCACTTGGGTTGGCGTGCAATTTATATATTATTCTAATCTATATTAGAAAATTATTTTTCTGCCTAATAGCACTAAAATTACCTTATTTTTATATAAAGAAATTAGAGTAGAATTAGACTTGTTTAATTAACGTTATTTTGCTAAAGCAAGTTTTAAAATGACTAATGGTTTCAAGAAAGAGAAAAGTGTGCAAAGACTTTACACAAAAATCTTTATGGAGATTTGTCTAATTCATTATTTTGGTCTTTTATTCCCTTCACATTATTAGCCTTCATTTTTATTTTTTTTTGCTATAGAAAAATAGCAGATACGGTTAGCATTGTTCTGATAAGCATCTTCAATTATTCGATTTTCCCTATCAAACACAAAAGAAATGGCATTTTTAGTCACTATAGACTTTAGCATGTTATCTTTTTTTTTAAAAAAAAAATGGGGCCGAGGAAGGAAAGGAGATTACAAAATGCAAAATCGAACTCTCATCAGTGAAAATTCAAATAGTCAACCATCAAGGTGATTATTTTCCGAACTATTAGCATGTTATGTTAATAGATAAGTGATCATCAATTAACCAACTCCAATTTTAAATTTTTAATGAAAATAGATCAAATTATCCAGTATTAAAACCTTAAGAAATGGATCTTGTTGGATAATATGAACGCTAGTCGTTATTTAAAACGTGATCCTAATCAATGCAATTACTCTTTCCCTGTGTTTGGATAATTTGTGTTGTGAGTTTTAAAATAACAAATAAATAAAAAAGAAAAGAGGAAATAAGGTAACTAGGGGGTCTTATACTTGTAGCTATCCATTTTAATATTCATGTTTCAACAAAAATATTTGATCTAAAATAATTATCATTTTAAAACATCTAAGACATGATTTTTTTTCATACTCGATAAATAAGAAAAGAGATTAATATAGTAAAAAAAAACTACAAATAATTAAGTTAAATTACTTTTTTAATTAACAAAATTAAAATATGACAAAGAAAATGAATTAGTAATTAGTAGGACTTGGTCACCTTTCATTCTTGATCTGAATAATGAAAATAAAGCCATCCTTTCTCATCACAATTTTTTGTAGAATTAAAAAGAAGAGAATTTCAAAGCCCCAAAAGGACTTGGAAGTTGCCTAATCATTCTGCTTTGCACGAAGACAAGTTTACTTGGTCATTCTTATCATGCAATTTTTTCCAATGTTGGATACATTATAAACCAATTTTGTTTAAAGCTTTCAAGAAAGCTGTCTCTTGGGGACATAGGTCTCATGTCATATTACTTGGGCCTAGAAGTGAAGCAAACGGAGAAAGACATCTTCATATCTCAAGAAAGATATATAAAGGAGATTTTGAAGTTCAACATGTTCTGCAACCTCATTAACACCCCAAAGGAAAGTGGAAAAAAGTTGTGAAAGTTTGATGATAGAGAAAAGGTGGACTATGTTCAAAAATCTCATGGAAAGTTTGAGGTACTTGACCTGTACAAGGCCAGTTATGCTCTTTGCAATTGTAATAGTAAGTCGCTTCATTACTCTTAAATTACAGCAACACAGTCATTTGAGAAAAGGAGCAACATTTATTGTAGAAAAAAAATAAGACTGATATTTGTAAACCAACACTAGAATAGAGGAAACACAATGAAGAGGGACAAATTAGGGATTTTCAAGGAGTGTAGCTCTTCCCAGATATTCATAATGTTTCATATGAATGAATGCATCAAACAACAACCTCTGGAAGGCCATTAAGATACTTGATTCATGAAACAGAATCATCTTCATTATTATTCGTTTTTTCCTTTAGAATCAAAACTGTAAACCCAGATTTGAATTTAGCAAGCAGGCAGGAAAAAGACGTGATAGAATATCAGTGAAACTCACCGATCAGAGGCAGTGGAACAACATAAATCTCCAAGCGAGTGTAGAGACAGAATCTAGAAAGAACAACCAAGAACAGAGAGCAGTAGTTATTGCCAGATTCAGACTTGTATAAATAAAAGGTACTAGACGAAAAGTCAGGATAGTAGAAGAAAGAACATACAAACAAAGTTAGTAGTGGATAGATGATGCTAAGACCCAGACAAGCTGGATGGCGATGAACCAAAAAGGCTGTAGAAGATTTAGAGCCACAAATAAAACAAGATAGAGAAGTGATACATGGCAAATTACTTTGATGTTAAAAGGCATGGTATATAGTTAAGTACTATGAGAAGTCTAAAATACCCTCAATTTGAATTATATTGGCAATAAGCAGACATGTTGTTCGCACGTGCTTGAATTAACTCTTCTATATCATAGAAATGCTTTCATCACTTGAGATTTTAGCCTGTAATATCAGAAACAAGAGGGAACAAGCAAAAGGAGAAGAACAAAATGGACTATCATCTGCTGCTTCATCAAAATCCCAAATTCCAACAATACTACAATGGGGTTAACCGTCATAAAACTATGATGGAAGGAAATCGAACAACGAATTACCAACTTCATCCATTTATAGGAATTCCATATCCATGCCTGCACATAATACCCAAGACCTGATGAAGTTTATCCCTTTCCCCCCAAGTTTTGTAGGCTTTAAGTAATATCCAAAGTGTTTTCTTTGAGAAGTCCAAATTCACTTTATCCATCTCGCTAAGAACTTTCTCCATTTCAATGAGTCGCTTTTGTGATGAATACATAACCATCTTGCAGTGGTAAAGGGACCTGCATATTTTCCAACCAGCACATTCTGCACGGCTAACAAAATTAGCAAGTTTGTCCACTGCATTGTTTCGGAAGTAACTTGAAATGATGCAATGCATGACACCAACAGTTGTGACGGATGTGTTACAGCTAAAGGCTTCATTTATTGAATTTTCCATCTGGTCTAACAGATCTTCCTTTGCATACAAACATATCAATATGACATTCAACCAAGGCCTATAATCATCTTTAGGAATCAACCTCATCAATTCCTCAATCTTTTGAACTTTATTTACATCAGAACTTTTACTATAAGCACATATCATAGATCGAATTAATGGGATTCCATATCGATCAACATGACCTTTGACAAGCTCATACATTTCTTCCATATTTTCCAACTTACCAGAATGTGCATATCCTCGAAGCATCAATAAATGGGTAGTGAGATCAGGTTTGATACTTCCTGCCTTCATGATTCTATATGTCTTCTCCACATCATCCCACATCCACGCTGTGATATACCCAGCAATTAAATAGTTGTACGTACCAACATTTGGGCAGATACCCAAATCATTTATTTCCCGTAAAGTTGCCGCCATGTGATCTATCAGCATTAATCTTCCAAACACAGAGATCAGTATGTTGTATGTTACAATAGTTGGAGTACATGTTGCTTCCCTCTTCAAGTCTCGAAAAACTGATTGACACTTAACAGCCAAGCCATTGATCATATATGCAGTCATAAGGGCATTATATAAAGAGGTCGACTTGAGTCGCTTGTTAGAAGCCTCCTTGAATAGTTTGGCTGCAAGATCAATATTCTTTAACCTTCCAGCCATAACAATAGCCTTGGAATACTCCTCAACTGTCATGGGACTCCAGCAATCCAATTGTCTTCTTCTCCAGTCGAAAGCCTGATAGAAAATAGTCAAACTTTGTTTACTTTCTCAATGAGGAAAAATTGGCGGAAATCATAGACTTAATATCATCTCTTAGGTAAAAGGCATACAAGAATATTCTTCAACTGTGGCTAGTAGAAAGGCACCAAAATACTATTGATTAATTGAAAGAAGGATTGTTTGATGTTTACCAAAAGAAGAAGAACTACTCGTCTTTCATCCAAAAACTCAGTTCCGTTTTATCCCCCGCCTAATTTACATAATCTAATCATAAAAGTTGTATTCACGCAATAACTCTATGATGTCTCAACTTAATTGACCTTTGCAGGGAGGGCAGATCCATCCTCGTAGATATGAATCCATAACTTCAAAATCATAACAGATAAACGGTAAGAACCTTATTCAAATCCTGGATCCGCTTCTGTTTGCAAAATCAACAAGTCCTCTTTGACCACAACTCAATTCATATATTTGTTTTATCATATCTTTTTTGTTCAAAGATTGGTGACTATCGAGATTTATATAGTTTCTAACATACAAAAGAATAATCACATTCACTTCAATCATTGCAAAACAAAATAGATTCAGTTATAACGAGGATGATATGTTGCATACAGAAAGAGAATCACCTGGACCGCTAACCCGGGCGAAGATTTTAGCTGCTGTAAGAGCTCAACAACTGCAGAACCATCTGCATACCTACTAAACAACGAAACCCCTTTATCTGCTAATATTTTCTCAAACATTTCAGCATCACCACTGTATGCTAACAATTCATCCTTTAAATGTGAAACTTTTTCTCTCATATCTTGGTTGACCAAAGAATCGGCAGGACTCCGCCTGTCTGCAAATAAAGTAAATACATGTGGCCAGGCGGCGGGTTTGGAAGAAGATGATGGCTTGCTTGCTAATCCTCTGATCCACAACGTATTAGCTGAACCTCGTCCGATTGTATAACATGATGAAAACTTTTGGAGAACTGCTTCCTTCTGTAAAACATCATGAATTCTCCATACCGTCTTCATCATTGACAATTGACAAATAAGTAGAGAGGTATCCTAATTTTACATAAAAATACAAAAAATGTAAGCCAACTTTGAGGTTTTCAAACGGCTAAATCAGTTCATTTTGCAGCTTAGATAACAACATCCACCGCATCACTAATTAAATCCAATTTCAACATTTATTTCAAAAGCCGTATACTATTCAAATGAAATAATTCCAAACGCGACGGGAGACGGCGGAAACAGAGCGGAAGCAGGCAGGCGGAGGCGGTGGCACCGGTGCAGAACTTTGTTTGTCTCCGGAGACTTTCTATGTCAGTCTCGGTGAAGTGAGTGAACAGATGAGATTAGGGTTGGAAGCTCAAACCCCCAATATTTTTTCCAACAAACAAATACGTACACAATCGGTATATTTTGTAAAAATTTCATTGCAAGTCCTTTTTATTCTCCCATTTACTTAACACACCCTATATGTTTTGTTTTTCTAAACGAAAAGCCACTATTAGATAATTTTCAAGAAAAAATTATATAGTACTTCTCTTATATTATGATTTAATATTAAAATGCATATATCTAAAATTTTAGTCATACATGAAATTTTTTTTTAAGAGTGTCAATTGAGTCTGTTAATTTGTTGTATTGTGAAAAATTAATGTTTAAGATTTGTTATTTAATAACGAAACATATGCTTAAATTTTAAGTTTGGTGTTATGTAGTTGATTATGCTGGACATATATAAGAATGACTTTCTCGTTAGTAATTCAGATGATTTTTTTTTATTCGCACTATTTTCATTCGAGAGAAGGCTTTCTATCAAATATTTTTTCATATTCAGAACTCGAAATTGAAATTAAATGACATTTTGCTTGTGTTCGTGCAATGTTAAGGGCCTCCCCCTTTTCGTAACATTTTTATCACATTAGTAACAGAGTAAATATGTCACTGCGATCCAATATCATTTTTGGTTACTGAAGAAGTACAAGACTTTTATGAAATTTAACATCATATTATGAATAGGAAAATGTATAATCTTTGTTGAGGATCCATTTTTATAGTTTCCATTGGCAGAAGCAGAGAGAGCACATTCCAACAAACAACAATATCATTTTGCTGATGACAGATTGTACTCTCTCTCTTCTGTCAATAGAATTTCTCACTTTGAATCCTCAACCAAATCTCATATGTAAATAAACTATACTGATAGCATGAAAAAAATATTTACATTGTCAATGTATGTAGCTAAACAACAACAACAACCTACACCTAAGTCTCAAACGAGTTGTGGTTGGCTATATAAATTTTTCGCCTTTTCTTTAAGCCCAACTCATATCATAATATAAAGAAAGAACACTTAGCTAAAGAGTAGTAGTGAGGGGGGTGAAGATTATAGTTACAAATGGTCAATTTATAGTGAAGACTAGAAGAGCCAAAGAGGGGCAAAAGATTTTAATTCTCTGTTGGCTAATATTTTGGAAGGTACTTTGTATTTAGAGAATCTACTAATTAAAGGCAACAATAAGTGAAGTTCATTTTCATGTATATTTATTACAACATCTTATGATATTGGACAGAAGTAACCTGTAATACATACTGAATTTATATGGAATTAGTGTTGATGATAATGAACCTCCAAAGACAAAATTGATGTTATATTTATCTATTTCTAGTGTTATAGATAATGACTTGATGTGACACTGCCAGTAATATTTAGTAGTGGAGGAGAGTTTTATTTGGTTAAAGATGAAAATGAAAAAAAGAATATTTGAAAATTGAAGTTGAAAGAAAAAAATCACTAAGATTGAAAATAATCTTCCACCTATAAGGGTTCTCTTTGTTCTATATTAGTTGTCACGTTTTCCTCTTACATGGTCTTTAAGAAATTAGTACCCGACAAACTAATCTAATAGAACACATGGTTTCTAGGAAAATAATAACTGCACTACCTACCAAACATGTTACTTTCAAGCCATAGAGCTGGATTCCTTTTTAGGATAGCAGTGTCTATTGTAAATCCACAAAGAATCTGCTGCAACTCGTTCACTGTCTTGGTTACGATGCCAAGTATAATAGGCGTGAGTCCTGTTCTTAATTTCAAGAACCGCGTGCCCAAAACTAGCTTCACGATAAGCTGAGTAGCTTGGCTGTGGTTCTGTAAAACTGCACAAACAAAAACCAGACAGAGTCCCATAAGAAAATCTTCTCATTGCGATGAAATAAAAATGAGATCAGACCGAATAGGAGTCTAACTTGTTGGCAATGCCTTCAATATTTCCACCATCCCCAATTGTTATGTATATAGGAGCGGAAGGATCTTCAATTGGTGTACTCTGTCCATTTGTGATGTTGTACATAACATTTGATACTCGTTCCTACGAAATTGTCCATGCGACATATATTACCATTAATCAAGACCTATACATTGGTTCAAGGATGAAATTTTATAGGATAGAGTTGAGGGGCCAACCGAGCGTTCATAAGAATGAACATGTCCTGCAAACACCATGTCAACCTTGTTCTGAACAAACCAGGACTCAAACATTACTCTCATGCTTTCACCTTCCATGTAATGGTAGTTGTTACTGTTGTACCATGGAGAGTGAAGCAGAACAATTAGCCACGGAGTTTCAGTTCTGTTAACCTTGGCGAATTCTTGTTCAAGCCAACTATACTGTGGAGTATATTTACCTGAACAACATTATATAAGGTCAGTTACTACACAAACTGCGACTATTAGCAAAACATGTTTAGAAAATTGAAGTTATGTAGTTATTACCATAGGCTGAATAAGAGGATAGGACTATTATATAAGTCGATGCACGTTTGATTGAATACCAGAGAGGAGATGTACCCTGAGATGCCTTGTAGGGTACATGATACCTATGTGTGTATGGCTTGAACGGAGTATTTTCACCCTAAAAACATCGAAAACACACTCAAAAAAGAGTTCTTTTTTATGAACTATTAGTAACACATTGAAAGGAAGCATTACAATCTCAGGAGCAAAATCAAGTTCATGATTGCCAGCAGCAGTAATCCAAGGTTGATAGGCAGCACTCTTCTCAATAAAACGGCCAAATGTATCCCATCTCACGTTGTCATGAAAAGGGTAATGATCTGCATATGATAAATCACCAACAAACAACATAGCTTGGCCTTTTGGATTCGACAAATAATGCTCCAACGTTTGATTTGAGTCAAAAGTTTGCCCCAAATCCCCTGCATCCAAGTATATCACATTGTAACAGACAAACAGATATAAAATCCCGAGGCAGATATAGAATTTAAACTTAAAGTTGAACTCGTAATAATTCTTGAATCATGCTCACCAATAATGCCAAATGTGTAAGGAACATCTGGTCCAACTTTTGGCGGAGTTGTGAAGGAGAATGTTCGAGTAGAATTATGTTCTCCCAGTTGATATATGTATGTCACATTATACTGCATTTTGACCCCCCCAAAAAAAAAGAAGTAGAAACAACGTATCTCGAAGAATCAAAAGCAACTAGAAAAAACACAAGAAACTATAGTCTATACATACCTTTAGTCGTTTGATTGTGGCATGATGAATATAACCTGAAGTATAATTATAGTATTTATAAGATGTGGTTTTAGCATGAGCTTTGTGTTTGTGATGATGATGCTTGGTGTTGGCCCCTTCTTCCCAAAAGGTGACATAATTTGATTGGCTTTCTAGTGGTGTTACCCATGAAACAATCACACTTCTTCCTATATGATCTCCTTGTGTTATATGAACCTGCATTATTAATTATATACAACATAACACAATACAGTACCATACAATCTTTATTGGAACAATATGCAATAACCATCCAAACAAATTGCAAAATTAATAAATAAATTGGTAACGAACCTGTTCGGGGGAATTATAACCAGGGGAGGAGGAAAATATTGAATTGGCATGTCAATTGAGGCTTCAGATTTTCTGATATAAGTGCTTGTAACACCTCCATTGCAAAAATCAAAAACTTGTAGCAATAACAAAAATATGACAAGCCTATGCATGTTTAGAGTACTGATATTTGCTTAACCAATAAAGACTCTTAATGTTTAGATTTAACTCTAACTAGTGATTATATAGAATCCCTTAATTATGATGAGTTGAAAACAGAATTCTCTTCTAAGAAACCTTATTTATCTCGAATTTTATTTAGGTTATTTTATGCCTCTTCACTTGTTTAGAATTAATTAATCTTACAGTGGTTGACTTGTAATAGACAGCCCAAAAATAGGAGATAGATATGTAGAAGAATTAGAAGTTCTATGGTTAAAGAAGAAAAAAAAAGGAAAATACTTTTTTATGGAGGAATGATTTTTATTTTTGATTTTTGATTAAAATCTATTTAACGTAAATAAACGAAAAGGAATGAACTTATTTGCAGTTCCAAAGTTTTTCTACTCAAATAAAAGAGGAAAATATATTTAATTGTCTTACATTACAATATAAAACAAATAGGCATAATACATATATTAGACTCTAAACTTGAATTTAAATTTTAACTTCGACCTTCAATTTTCATAATGCACAAATAGACACTTTAACTATTCAACTTTTAAATAAATAAACATATGAGTCCTACATGGCACAATACACGTAGTACAACACGTACGACAAAAATGACATGTAAGATATATGTGTCTATTTATTCAACTTTATACAAGTTCAAGTGTCTATTTGTGCACATCCAAAGTTGAAGGATATAAATGTAATTTAAAATCAAGTTAAAGGACACATTTATGTATTATGACAATTCCTAAGCAAGTTGCTAATTTTTTTATAAATAATTTTTCTAATATTTTGTTTTAACGGATATTAGCTTAGTTGAAATTCAGACAATTGTTTTGTTATGCTTGTTTCAGACCATGCTTTGTTTGCGATGCTTATTAATTTTTCTGTAGGGCTTTGTTGCCCTCTACTATCTATTTAACTAGGCGCAGTTGCTTTTGTCTAAGTATTTATTAACTGTTTGTATTTTTTTAATTAGTTTTTAGGTATGTGAATTACATGGTGTCACACGGGCAGATTACTTCATCTAAATTTCTTGTAAGAGGTTAGCTCGGCGTGATGGTAGTCAACTCCTACTCAATTCAGTTTATTCTGCCTAACGTTTTAAAATATATTTTTTTTCTGCCTTAGATTATTTTTCAGACTTTCAATAAGGAAATCAACACATAAATATACGGACAAACCCAACCTTTATATTTATAATTGAAACAATACAAAGGACTCACTCGTTGGAACAACAATTCTGTTCAACTTCGACTTCGATTTAAGGCACAACCACAAGTTGATTGTTGCATTAGACACTTCTTAAAAACCTCACGTTTTATTCTAAGTGTCTTGATGAAATTCCATACTTAATCTTCCCTCTTTCACCTTAGGATAACAAGTCTATCCTCCTTACTTAGCCAAATTCGTCCAACACACAAGGTTGTCCATTTATAGAACATGTGGCAGCCTTGTGTTTACATTGCATAGTGTTGTGACACATATGTAACATTTGTCAAATGCTTAGCCCACTAAATTAGACTTAAGTTGACATCCTCAACTGATAAGGCATTTCAAATTTCAAATTCAAAAGTTATTACAACATGCAATGAATCTGGACACAAGCGGTTACAAAATGGTAACCGCCACATGTGTTTGGCATGTGACTTGGCTGACTGGATCTCGTTTCTTTGCTGCATTTTCCTTCAATACTTTTGACTCTAATACAATGTCTAAACATGTATAGTCATTGCTTCATCAAAGTTCACCCGAATCCATCCGCACATTTTTCATGTCTGCGCACCATCGACGCCCTGTCGTTGCCTTAGCTTGCTTTGGTCATGTTAACTTTTAATCCACTTGTACCATTTCTAGTTTTCTTACTGCGTTTCATTCATAATTGACAATGCTTCAATTTAGCTCAACTTAATTTTTTCGCATTTGACCAGACCATGTGATTTTCGCATGTCAACTTTGTCTACAACCGATGTCGGTCAGCATCCAAGTCATGCCATGGGTTGTTGCCTTGCCAACTCCCATGTCATGTCCTACCAAAATATTTGAACCCATTTGACCATGCCAATACTCTGCTCACACAACGCATGATTGATTCCACCTACATTTGTCTTTAACAAAGTCATTCATGCCAACCCTTTGCCACGTCCATGTCTATATCGAGTCACTTGGTCAGGACCCTTACACACGGGTACCCCATGTTATTGCATAAAATTTTTGAAATAATACAAATGTAGATTTAAAAGGGGAAATGCAAGTTTAACTAATGAATGGTGAGCTTAGCCATCCAACTTAATTATTGAGTATAAGATGATTAGATATTATTTCAACAATTAAATTTAGTGGTAAAATTATAATGATATTCAACTTTACCCTTTGATTAATTATTATATAATATTTCAACGACATAAAGGGGCGGATCCACATGGCTCGGCAATGGTGCATGTGCATTCGCTAACTTCAAAAAAAATGTTGTATTTATATGTATATATATCTTAACAAACTAGCAAAAAAAAGAATATAATTAACAGTGCACCCATAAATAACATAAATGTGCCCTTGTGTAGTTGATAAAAGCTAGTGGTGGCACTTGCAAGACCCAAGTTCAAACTCAACTAGACCTATTTTATTTTTTTATTTTAAATTTACCTTAGCACTAATATTAGTGCACCCAAAATCTTCAAAACCTCGTTCGCCTCTAACGACATATGTAAATATAGGTGACGTTGGCTAGCTAAAAAGTACTTTATGTCTAATAGTTTTTTATGATGTATCTTTAAGAAATTGTAGCCACCTTTTTTTTGTTAAAATGATCAGTTGTTTGTATACAAGGAAATTAGCTGAAATCAATTGGGAAAATGCACACGTACCCCCTCAACCCATGCTCGAAATTTCAGAGACATACTTATATTATACTAAGGTCTTATTACCCCTCTGGACTTATTTCATAAGTAATTTTTTACCCTTTTTTGGCCTACTTGGCACTAGCTTGAAAAAAAAGTCAACCAGCATTGAGCCCACAAGATAGTGTCACGTAGGCCGAAAAGGAGTAGAAAATTATTAATAAAATAAGTTTAGGAGATAATAATACCTTAGTATAATATAAGTATGTTTGAGATTTCAGACATATGTTAAGGGGTACTTGTGCGTTATCCCATATCAATTCTCAGTATCTATACAAACTTTTCAGTAAAATTATTAGACTGCGGATCAAAGGAAAATCAAACAGAAAATGCAGAGTAATTATGGCATAAGAAAAATAATTTAATACTCACGTAACTCACTATTAAACGACCCCTCAGGTTACCACTTTCACCTATGGTTACATCAACAAAATCCCTAAAATCAGCACCAAGTTAGAACATATGATTAATGATTTATGACAAACTACGAACAAGTAGTTGGAAAGATATATTTGTCACTAAGAAGAAGTACTAATGATTATTTGAATAGTATGTTATTATATTTAATATGACCAGTTTTTGGGACCTTCAATTTTTTAAGCCTAATTTAGTGCGCCACTAGTGATTTTGTTGGCTTGTAAATTTATAACCATTGAATTCACAAGGTGGGCCACCAGTAAATTTGTTACAATATTTTAACATATGATCATATTAGTGATAAATTTTTAAGATATCCATCTCTAAAATATACAAAAATTAAGGGACTTATGTAAATCTTACTAATTTAGGAATTAATTGTTTAAATATATTTTAATTTGCAATATAACGTGTCTTATCAAATTTTGGTGTCTTCTGATACGTTCAGATATATGCATCTTGGATATATATGGAAACAAATTTAGATGTAAATTGTTCTAAATACATTCTATCTAAGTGATTCACATGTATCTAAGGTACATATCAAATCTCGTTTGCTTCCCTCAGCTCTCTCGTCTCATTCACCACTCTCTTATGCATTTGTTATCCCATATACATGCAAATTACTCCAAATACATACAGAGATACATGTATATAGTGTGATACACTGGTATCTAGGGTACATACGAATCTCACTCGCCTTCTGCAATTAACATTTTTTATATATATATTTCTAAAGTCTTTAGCGACATTTGATCTAATGACACTTAATTAATATCGATAAAAACATTAACACTCTATATTAATATTCTATTTATTGCAGCTAAAAGTTATTTTTGTTATTATGATATGATAGTGCAGTATGTCTAATTATATAATTGTTTCTTTCAAATAGACATTTTTGACATTTCTTGGCCACTTACGAATGAGATTCCAAATCCATGGAAATAAAATGATTAACAATGCTTTTCTCTGTTTTATAATGCAATGAGTATTTAAAGAAAAGCACTGAGACAAGTTGCAAAATATTTTAACCCTCAACCACTACAGAATTCTAAGCCAAGTGAATGTTAAAAACAACATTTTCACAAATTTGATACACTGTAGAACAGGAAGAAAAAAAAAACATGAAAACATCAACTAAACAGAGAAATTTAGTTTATATTTCTTCCAGAGCTACACTTTTGTAAGTTCCACAAAAAAAAAATTATGACAGTTCTATGCTAACAAGAAAAAGAATAGGAGAAATTAAATCATTTCATCGCGGTTTTGGCAAGGTGATCGTCATCTCATTTATGGATACATCACTTAACTGCTGAGATTGCCAACTGCTACGAAAAGCAGGTTCTTTTGGTTCATGGATAGGCGTTGTTTCGTTGCTTAACATGAATGATACATCAGACATTGTTGGTCGATCAATAGGGATTTCTTGAACACAAAGAAGGGCAACTAGTATACATCTTGTTGCTTTGTTATTGTCGCAAGTTTCTCTTATGGAAGGATCGATCAACTCCAAGATTTTTCCTTCTTTCCACTTATTCCATGCCTAAAAAAAATATTCAAATGAGTTGCACCATAGATTAAAAAAGAAAAACACGAAAATAAGTGAAAGAAAACAGAATTAGGTAATGTCTTGAGTGTTGTTACCCATCCTAAGAGGGACGCGGAAATTTCAGTCATTAAAAAGTCTGAGTTAC